ACTTGATGATGTGACAGTGGGACAGCCCTAAACCCTCACGGACTTCGCGGGAGCGCGCCTCAAAGTCCGTGAGTCCGTAAGGGGGACATTGGGATTTGGCCAGACATTTTCTTCATCATCGTTGAAGAATTTCTATTTCATTATTTTACTAAATTCAACAGACTCACATTAAGAAACAAACACATAAAACGTTCATCTGTCGAGTCTAAATGTTTGTTTCTCATATTTCATACATTGACAGATGCGTGTAGTGGGAGAAGTATTCAGGTCCTTTACTGCAGTAGAAGTACTAATACCACCAAAGACCTGCATTAAAAACTGTATTTTAAGAATATAAATATCTGAAATCAAAGCATGTGATCAGTTTATGAAATAAGATCCTTAAAAACCAAAAGTACATAAAGTTATAAAAGTGAGATCCACTTTGACCAAATACAACGTAGAACCTACATATGTCCTAATAATAAGTACCAGTACCTCAAAGTAAAGTACTTGTACTGCTCATTAAAGTACTAGTACAGCTAAGTAAAGTACCAGTTCCTCAAAGTAAAGTACTAGTACTACTCATTAAAGTACAAGTACCTCTATGTAAAGTAACAGTACATCAAAGTAAAGTACAAGTACCTCAAAGTAAAGTACAAGTGCCTCAAAGTAAAGTACAAGTGCCTCAAAGTAAAGTACAAGTACCTCAAAGTAAAGTACTTGTAAATGTACTTTGATTTGTTGCTGCACTTAATTATAAGTTAAATTATTGAAAGCAAAACCTCACTTTTATGTTTTATTTCTATAATTTATAACATTGATGTTTTCTGACCTGTGGAACGTGACGTCATTAATCTGCTTTTTAAAGTTTGTTTTATTGTATTTTTTTCTGGTTTCAAATTAAATAAAATACAATTTTAAAATAAAGTATTTTAAACAATGATCGACATTAAAGTCAGATTAGTTGTTTTGATTTTTGTTAAATATAAAAACAAAATAAATGTTCAACACAGTTTCACTTCCGGTTTCTTTCACTGAATATGAAATATAAATATTAGGAGTTTGTCATATTTTCTCACGTTTCTTCTGGAAGTTTCTCCGCTGAACGAACTTTGACACAAACTGAAAACAGAAAACAGAAAAACGAGAGAAGAAGAAACTCCGCAGCTCCGTCTCTTCGCTGTAGCCGCCATCTTTGTTGTGACCCAGCGGAGCAGGTCACATGACAAAATCATTTAGGACCCGCCTTCGTCTGCCTCTCATTGGCTCACCAACTCTCACTCTAACACCGGAAACGAGGACGACCCAATCAGAGGCGGGGAAGGGCGGGTCCAGCCTCCACAAGTCAGCTGACCAATTTAAAAAAACTTTACCAAAATGATTAATTTACAATCACAGTGTTTTAACGTTTTAACATTGAATACATTTAAATAAATATAATATATTACAACAATCTAATCTGTTGTTCTTCTGTTACCGATTATATTTATTTTTCATGTTTTAAACATTTTAGATGTGACTTGATATTAATACAAAGTTTCTATCAGACGTCTTTTTTTGAATGAGAACCAACACAAAGTTTATTAACTAATAATTGACGCATTATAGATTATATAAAGTTATTAAAATAAGAGCCACCTAACCCTCGTATTCATTCAATGTTTAACATCTCTAAATGACTTTTTTTTTTGCTTCATATTTAATGACTTTTCCTAATTTAATGGGGACGACTGGGCAAACGACTGGGGGGTTGTTTTATTTAAAGGGCTATTTAGGTAGTCAACAAAAAACACAAGTACCTGACACACAAACTTGCGAAGCGATTTTAATTATAATCATTTTCTGGAGGTTTAAATTGCTGAGGTCAACATGAGCCCGAGGATAACGGGTGTTAGTCCATGTGAAGGTAACAGGAGGCTTAAATGTTGACATGTTTTATATGTCAGCTAATGAGTTGGAATAAAGTTGAAACACAGAGGTTGGTGATAATTTATCATTTTTGACCCCAGAGGACAAAAGACAATCAGGAGGACATTACGAGGGTTTGATCAACACATTGATGACGTTTAAACGCATGTAAACATTTACTAGATATTAACTATTGATCAGCTGGTACATGACAGGTGGAACATAAGATATCTTACATGAGGTTCAGGTCTCGGTTTCATCAGAGAACTCAACACAAGACTTCAATGGATCAGAAATAAAAACATCAAACAAGTTTCTAACTTTATTGACTGTTTATTGAGTTTCAGTGAGTCGTCTGGTCCCCACACACACACACACACACACACACAGACACACACACACACAGGCAGACAGACAGTTAGACAAACACACACAGACGACTGTTGGAGTGGTTCTGATGTGGATCTACTCGGCTCCCTGTCCTCCCATCTGACCGTCTTTGTCTTTCTTCTTGTGACCAGAGACGATGTCATCGATGCGCAGCAACAAGATGGCCGTCTGAACAACAGACAGGTAGAGGTAGAGGTAGAGAGAGAGAGAGAGTTACAGTGAGAAGTATGTGATTCAATCATTAATATTAATATCAGTGAGTGTACTGACCTCCACGGCCGTCTTGTAGGTCTGAGCTTTAACAGCCAGCGGCTCCCAGATGCCCAGAGCCATCATGTCAGACAGACAGCCTGTCTCACCATCCACACCCCAGTTCACACTGTTCTCCTGAGTGTGTTTGGCCTGAAGAGACAAGACTATCAATAAGTACTCAATACCATCAATACAGTTATTGTTATTGACTGACGTTATAAATAAAGTTATTGTTATTGACATTACAGATAAAGCTTTAAATAAAGTTGTACCCTCAGTGACGTTAGCACTCGGATGGTGGAGGCCCCACAGTTCTGGATCAGGGTCCTGGGGATCACCTCCAGAGCCTGAGCCACAGCTCTGTAGGGCCACTGATCAACACCGGTCAGAGAGCGAGAACGTTCCATCAGACGTTTAGACACCGCCATCTCTACAGCTCCACCTCCAGGCAACAGGAAGGGCTCCAATAACACGTTACGACACACCTGCATGGCATCCTGGAGGTTCCTCTCCACCTCCTGAAGGAAAGGAAGCGTCAGGGGTAGGGTAAGC